TCCAGTTGCATCTCGAGTTCCTCCTCCTCTTCTCTCTCATCCTCTAACCAATCAAGTCGACCTTGTGGCGCTCTTGTCTTCTCCTCCGGATAAGGCCTGATAGGAACCTCAGAAAACTCGGGCCTAGATGGTTTCGGTTTGTGCGTGTCATCCTGTGTGAATGGATGTCTTCATCTACGTTTCATCTAGTTCAATCGTATTATGCAAATCATGTTTTTTATTCAAAGTGATTTGCTCGCTCTTCGGCAGAAGCTGTCGCTTGAACTCACTTTTTCAGACCGAAGACCAGCCGGGCTTTGTTGTCTCACCTGGAGACTTTTGTCTTCAGCTTCTTTTCGTCACACAAGAGTGTCCCACAAGAGTAACAAACACGAGTGTCCCACAAGAGTGCTCCGCAAGAGAGTCCCACAAGAATGTCTTACAAGAGTGTGCCACAAGAGGGTCCCACAAGTGTCCCACAAGAGTGTCCCACGAGAGTGTCCTACAAGAGTGTTCTACAAGAGTGCCCCGGGTGATGTTGGGCCTAACCCGCATGCAGCGCATGCGCGCTTGGAGGGGAAACACTTTGGAGACGCCAAAACCTTAGTGCCACCTCATCGAAACAGCCTTCAGCGGCTTTGCGAACGCACCCTGCCAAGTCGAAGGTCTCTTCCCTTGGCCAGTCGACGCGTCTAAGCGAGCCCCAGCACATGTCCAAGCGAGCCCTGCCAACCGTCAACCGGCAAGGCATGTTTCCTCTGAAACGCCTCCCCCTGTCCATCGCCGTCGGCGGATTGGCACCAGTGGGATCAAGTTGGTGCCCCTGCAGTGATCGTCAGGCATCTCTCGACAAGTTTGTTCTACAGTCGACAAGTTTGTCGGCAAGAAAGTCTGGAAGGGGTGGGATTTGCTTGTGTTTGTTTGTTTCTATGGAAAAGCCAGAGCTCCACTGGCATGTAAAACCACCATGTTCTGCAAGTATTGATGGCGAACTCGATGTCGCACTTCTTCCGCCGTGGCGCGGGCAGTATTGTTGAGCTCTGTTGAGTGCAGGCTCAAGTGTGCTTAGCCATGGAGATGCCGGATTGACGTGTAGGGGAAGGAACATGAAGTAACTCTTGATTTTCCACCTGTTTTGTTTGTTTGTTTGTTTGTTTGGTTTGTTTGTTTGTTTGGTTTGTTTGTTTGTTTGTTTGTTTGTTTTTTGGTTTGGTTTGGTTTGGTTTGGTTTGTTTGTTTGTTTGTTTGGTTGGTTGGTTGGTTTGTTTGTTTGTTTGTTTGTTTTGTTTTGCTTGTTTAGGCGGCTTTTGATCTTTTGCCCTTGGAAACGAGTGCCTCATCGCCGTTTTTTTTTCCGTTTGGGCAGTATTGACATGGTGACATTCTGGTGGATGGTCCTCCTTCTTTTCAGTTTTCATCCACTGCCATGTTTGGTCGACTCAGTCTCTCTGCCTGATGAGCAAAGTCACGTGTAAAAACAGGTGGCGGCAATTTGGCTAGACATCCTTCAAAGACAGAGGCTTCAAGTGCATTTGAGCCTTTCATTGTTTGCGAAAAAATAATGCGTACAATAACTTTTACTATGCAATAACTTTCACTAGAACTCAAATTGTGTGGATGATCGTGTTTGCTCCAGTGACTGCTTGCAGCTACACCTCTGTGTTGACCGTGACCGGCAAGTTCGCAACATAAGATTTTGTTTGAAAGTGGACACTGTCTCAGGTACTGCATTGCGTATGCATTCAAACCCAAACCAACCCAAACACGCCTCCATTTTCAAAGTTGTTTTGAAAGTCTGAACAAAACACAAATTCTTGAAGAGGCCTGCAGCAGATACCTTGAAGAAACACATTGATATGGTACAGGAAGACCGATGGATGCGGTCAGTAAGTATTAAACATGCACATGATGCATTTTAGATTAAGCAACAAAACTAGCATTATGTCAATATCCACTGTGCAGGGAACCAAGCTTCCACAAACGCTTTCAAAGTTACGCTCAAAGTCAAACCTAGCAATACTCGAGTAACATTGGGGTTTTACTTCAGCTTGTTTTGTTCGTCGTGAGGCCCTCCATTCAGTTCATTCCTGTCATGTATCAGCGAAGCAAGCTTGTGGCGATTTATGAGCGGTTTGTAGATTGAATCCTGTTGACGATGTACATGTTTTACTTTTCAACATTATTTCATTTCTACTTATCCTTTGGAGGCTCCTCCCCAATTGACATGAAGTGCCAGTGGGGGGAATTCAATCGATTGGCCACTGCGAGCCTCAAAACTTTCACCCGCCATGGGCTCGAAGATTAAGATGGCTCAGCAAGTTGACCGGCCCTTTGTCATGAAGACCCGTGCCATTCGTCAATCCTTCATTTCGCGACATACCCCCTCGAAATGCTTCGAATGAGCTGCCTCATGTGGTTTCGGTGAAACGTTTTTTGCTGCCAAAAGTTCGTTTGCTGATCCTTGGCTTTGATGCGCTTCTCAAAATTGGTTTTCCATTCAAAGGATGCATCACAGATGATCACTGTTCACAGAACAATGAATTCATTGAGATGCAAGCGATGCAAATGATGCCCCACAGGAAAGAGACACAGCTAGCATCAGCTAAAAACTGCGCCCACAAAGAATTGAACCGGTTATGACCGGTGAAGCACCGTCAAAATCAATTGTTGCACACATTTCAAGTACTGTAATTGATGCAACAATGAAGATCTCAAGTGAAGTTGTCAGTTTGGCCCAAACAGTTTTTACACATTTTGACAGCTCCCCATTTCTATTTGCATCCCAAAGCCCTTCGACACACCTGCGCATGAAGGAGCGTCCGGTCGCGTCCAGTCGCGCTGGTGACTTGTTGAGTTTGGAGACTTGCTGAGTTTGGAGAGGACAAATACAATGCATCTTCTCCAGGGCAATACTTGCTCAGTCACCTTCTCTACAGGACCTTTTCTTTTGTTTGGTCCCGATGTCTTGTCGATGAGGGGCCCAGTAGAGGGTCTCGTTCCAGAAAACGAAACCAAGCCCACGGAGGCCCAGGCTGCCAGATCCGGAGCTGAAGGAGGAGGGGGATGCAGATGGGCCTTGAGAATCGCCTGGCACAACACATCGAAAAAGAAACATCGAGGTGAGAAGCAACTCTTCGAGCACTCAATTCTCAGAAGAGAAACAACAGGTGGTGGTGGTCTTGGCAACTGAAAGAAGGTTTGGTAGCATGGCAACAAGTGAAAAAGGCATAGTAGTGAGAAGATTATATCAGATATAAACAAACATTGATCTCAGGCTGGACTCGACTGTGCCAGTCTCTAAGAAAACTCCCATTAATTTTCTTGCTGCTTCTTTTGTAAGAAAGTGATACCTCGACTTGGTAGCACAATGCTTGGGGTGACAGAGAGCTCATTTTTTCAAATGAACACCCTGAGCGGTCATGTTTGACTTTCTTTCTATGTGTCCGGAAAGTCCGCAAGTGGTCGTGCGCAAGCGTCATACCGTCATACCTGTTCAAACTCCATTAAAACGAGGATAAGCACACACCTTTGCCACGCGTCAAACAACATTACCAGCCATCGTTGAACTACAAACTTGTTCCAGAAAAGCAGAACAGCACGCAAACTTCTTTTTGTTGGTGTGTCAGTGCTAGTGCCCGTGAATCCATGTATGTTTCAACCGTATTGAAATGCTAGTGATGCTAATAGATAAACATTAATTTTTTAACATTTTGAGCATGTAACATGCAACACACACACACACATATGCAATATTTGCGTATGAGGATGAACTGCGAATTGGATTGGAACAAAAGGATGAATGCCGCGCACATATAACATGCAAGCGTCATGTTTTTTGGCTCAAACCTCTTGAGAGATAAACCCGAATAAACTGATCAAGTTCATGCAGCCTTTAAGCAACTTTTTAAGGATACTACAGGCACTCATTATTTGAAGATGTACCGAGGGTGTTCTTTTCAAACCTTTCCAATGCCTGTTCTGTGACATGTCGAAACGCCTCAAGGGCGAGAGTTCCAACTGGAAGTTGTTGGAGGCTGCAGTGAAGGAACGTGAGCGTATTGTGGGGAGCTTGAGACAAGAGCTTGCGCATTTGGAGGATTTGACCGGCCAGACAGTGGCCGCCTTATCCAGCCATGCTGCCCGATCCTGGATGTCGGATCCCATAGTGACCTCGCCGCCGAGTATGTCACCTCCCAGTGTTTCGCCCAGCCACGCGGTGTTTGCAGCGCGTCACGTGATGTCACCATCACCGCCGTTGATGATCCATCCGCCAAGTCGACTGACGAATCCGGAGCAGAATCCTCAACCTTTGAGGTCGCGCTCAAGTCCTCAGCTGAGGTTGGAGAACGCTCAGTCTCCACCAACCCAATACCCTAAACCACGCACAGCTCGCGGCAGTGCAGGCCCTTCGGGCATGTCGGCTTCTGGTGCAAATGCTGCAGTTGGTGCAACAAAGCTGCAACAGGGCCACTTCATAAGTCCTTCTTGGCCTCAAACCTTGCTGAAAGGAAATCCGAAAGAACCGGTACAAACCCCGCCGCTGCCACGGCCTTTGGTTCGTCTGTAGTGCTGCCAAAGTGCGGCTCCCAAGGGCGGTCGATGCGCCCGAAGAAGGCGGCCGATGCGCCCGGAGGAGGCTCCGAGGAGCCGCCGTGTCCAAGCTGAAAAAAGGTGAGTCTTTTTGTTTGTAGTCATTAAGTGAAACGACTGCTTTTGCACAAAAGTGGCAGCCTGCACTTGGCCACTTCTTGGCCATGGAGACAAAGACAGAATCCAAAGAGAGCATGGTCCAATGGCCAAGCATCAGAAATGAACCGAAGCATCAGTCTCTTTGATAGCAGGGGATTGATGAAAGGTTGGAGTCCGACAGCCTTGGAGCGTGTCCGAAACAAAACCTCATTCGGCTTCTTAGACACACGGCAGCTTTGGCATTTCTTGCTTGGTAGACGAGCTGTTGGCATTGTTGTGGAACACACGCGGCATTGCTGACATCGTTGCTATGCGAGCGATTTCAGACGTCCATGGAGGAGAGATGGTGGAGCCGAGTTTTGCTCGCCGCTTTGGGATGGGGATCATGGTGACAGGGCTTTTGGCTTTGGGAGCCCAACACCATGTTTGTTGAGACAAGGTAAACAAACATGGAAGGCTATGAGAGAGTCATTTTCTTGCAAAGGTTGTGCCGCAATGCCTTTCCCTCTGTAGGAGAGTGTTCGGCGGTGTTTCAAGTTGCACGTGGAGTCTCCAGCATTAGCAATCTCAAAAAACTCCTCAACTCGCCCCAGCAGCCCATTCAAGTGCGTCAGAACATGTGTGATTGTTTTGATTCCTTTTTCTCCATTCATGAAATTCATGGTTCATGTTTTCACTCCAAGTGACTCGAAGGACGATGAAGAAGCAGCTGCCTGGGTGTGCTCCTCAGCATTTCGACGACTTTGCCAGCGTTGCGCGCAGTGAGTGGAGAAGACCTTGAGGCGGCGTTGCGCGCAGCGTTTGGAGAAGATCCAGAGGAAGCCAGGACATCCCCGCCCGTCGCGCGACGTGCGACGTGGATCCACGCCCGTCGTCACGCAGCGTGGATCACGTGTCGTGCCGCGGGGCGAGACGAACGGGGTTAGGTCTACACCCAGCGTTCGCTCACGGTCAGTGGGGGGGTGCGAGCGTGCTCTCCCAAATGGTTCCCATGTTGCCTGGCAGACACTCGTTGACCTTTGGCTCGGCCCCTATCCGTCAGATCCATCACCGATCTGTCTTGGCCGCTTTTGGGAGTTTTGGGCGCGGCTTGCTGCCATCAAGTTGCAAGTCTCTTTGGACCAGAAAACCAGCAGGAGTATTTCGAAGGAAACTCACAGGAACATCAATCGAGCATTGGGTGTTTTGGGAGTTTTGCGCCACCCCAACTAGAACTCCTGTGACAGCGGGATTCCACTTTTTGTTTGGATCTCTTCCCTGAAGAGCAGTGCACGCACAGGACGGTGAAGAAGCCAAGGGTCTGAGCCTGAGATGGCCAGGGCCAGGTGGTTCACTTGCTTTTTCCTGTCACCACTTCGAACACCTTGCTCTATGCATTTTCTAGATCTTTGTACAGCCTGCCGAGCTGGAACAAAGGTTGAGCCGACCACTGAAAACAGTCCGAGGTGGGCAGTGCTTGAGATGCACATTGGACATGTCTGACATGACCCTACACGTGTGTGTGTTCTTGGTCGAAAGAGGCACCAAAAAGCCACACATAGAGTGGTTGAAGGCAGTTGAAGGTGTCTGAATAGCAGGGAAGTGGGCTTGATCCCCATTTCCTTGGAGTAGACTCTTTGGCATGGGGATCACAGGCACCCCAACCGCGCTGGGTCGGAAGGTTGTCCGATCGGACCGGACCACCCCTCCCTGGGCTGCTCGGGACGGCGCTCCTCCGCGCGAGCGGGCGCCAGGAAGGCGCCGCCGAAGCGCTCCGACTCGACCGACGACTGGCTGCAGGGCGAGGCGCCGCTTCCGGCGGACGTGGTGACGGTGTTCGTCCGGGGGGCGTCAGGTGGATCGGCTGGTGGGGGAGATCCAGCGATTGGCCAAGCAGCCTTTGCCTACGGAGCTGCAGCGAGGCTCAGATGAGAGGCATCAGAGGTTGTGAAAGGCTTCGGAGATGTTTGTGGAGATGGTGATGATCACCAGATTGGCAGGTTTGGGATTGAGAGAAGTGCTGAAGCAGCACTCACTAGTTCGGTCTCAAGGCTAAGTTGCATGGAGGTCAGGTTCCCTTCTGCCCCACTTTTTGACCATGCTTCGTGTCCACGAGACCATCAAGCTGAGGTTGAATGCTGTGTGGAAACTGCCATTGGAGCAGCAGCATGACGTGTCCAGTACTCAGGTGTTGCGGTTCTCAGCATGGAACAACACTGCACAGGCACCAACACGACAGAGGGTTGTGCTATGTTACTCCGAACCTTTCCAAGGGAAGACTCCGCAGGATTCGTAGACGATTCGCCTTCCCAAACGAAGTATACGCGCTCTTCATGCCCCTCCAATGCTGTGAAGCGCCTACTGGTGCGCGCCCCGCGTGGCACCAGGCTCCTGGGCACCAGGGAGCTTCTCCACGGGAACTGTGCCGGCGGGCGAGCGCGCGGGGGGCTTCCACGCGGTGCGGAGCGATCACAGGGTGGGTCCCACGGGGGTGTGAAGACCTTCACGGTAGGCTCTTGAAGCTTCTAAGAAGATTGGTGTCTTGAATCTGCACATGGCATGATGATGCGTGAGAAAGACTTACACACACTTCTCTTCTTCTCCAACACACCCATCTCGGCATTTTCCGCTTGGAACTCCGAAGCCTCCCAGAAAATGGATCCACAAGCCTCAGCTCTGCAAGCGAGGAAGCTCCGACCGGTTCGGGTCTTCCAGCTCCAGGTGTGAACTCTACCGGACGAGTCTGGCATTTCCTCGCCACCGAGGCCGAGTTTGTGCGCTCCTGCTAAGACGACGGGCGCAAACTCCTGAAAAACCGGGCGATCTTGAAGAATGGATTCTTTCATGGATAGACTCCTTCATGGTGGAAGACCCAAAAATGAACACCCCAAAGGTACTGTAGACTCTTGATCAATCATCTACCTCCTCAGCCTCCGTGCTTCGCCTCCCACCGGCCCCCGTTTGCGCGAGCACGCGGCCCGGGCAGGTGCGGGATCGAGGAGTAGAGGCCACGGGAGACGGGAGGAATAGAGGCTCTTTGGAGCCCTCTGAACAAGAAAAATGGTAGAAGTGCAGGGTGGTTTTGGGTTTGGTTTGTTTTGCATCCCTCTTTTTTTTGGGCCTTTTCCGCGTGGGCCACGGCCATGTTCCCAGTTTCTGTTGGACCCGACGCCCGCGATGACCTGCGCGACCTCTGGCCACGTGCTCCTGTCTGGCACCGAAGATCACCCCCGCGACGAGTGAGTTCAAGCAACCTGGGAGCTGCTTTTGTTGTGGTTGTTTTCCTATTTTTTTCATCCTGATTTTTTGTTTCCCACTCCATCCACCGACCTCTAGTCTCAACAGGAGTGGGACCGGTGAGAGTGTGCGAAGCAAAGGAGACAGGTGAGGGCTTGCGACAGAGAGACGCACCGAGCGGAGAGCCGAGCCGAGCCATCGCCAGTTGCCGAGCTTTTCGTCCATTCCGCGTGGACACCGAGCTGACCCCTTCGTCGGGATGAGCGCGCTCTGGATCTCAAGGGGGGAGGAGCGATGGTTGCAGGATATTGGAAGGTTGGCCAAGTACCAAGATCAAAAAGAAGATATACAGCGAACGCTTTACGCGGATGTTTCTTTAACCTTTGACACATCCTGCCCAACCAAAACGACATTCTTTTCAGAAACGGCCTGGACTGTCCAGGTAGGTTTACTCCAGGTGGGTTCATGGGCGGATTGGATGATCCGTGGTCCGGTGATTTTGGGTCGACCTGCATCGACCTGCATCGACCCAGGCCAATGAGCGGGGGTTCGCTTAGAGGTCCCAGAGGCTGGGGAAACACGCTGTTGGCCCGCTCGAACGTGGGTTGCGCAGGTTGTTCCCACCGAGACCTTCGTCCTTTTGTATTTTTTTTGGGCAAAGATGGTGGTGGTTCTAAACATTCTTTTCCTTTTTTGCGCTGATAATCAGAGTGGCTTAGGAGAGGTTCACCGCTTTGCTTTGTGAAGAGTTTTTCGGGTTGTTATTCCTTCTTGACCCGACGAGCCTGAAAGTGTGTGTGGACGGATCTGTGGAGTGTTTCGTCGTTTCTTTGGAGCTTACGTTCAGAGTGGGTTTCCAACATGACAAATAGAGACAGGATTCTGATCGATGATGGTTGGTGTCTAGTCATCCTACCAGTTGGTTGATATGCCAGAAATAGGGGAAGATTTCTGTCCCGACCAGCCCTTTACATAAGGCGCTGGGCTTTAGATGCCGTGTTTCAATATTCAAAGACATCAGAGTTTGGAGAGGTACAGTAGTGTTGTTGGTGTTGTTTGGAAGCAATACTTTATTGTATCATCTGGGTTTGCAACAAGAGAGCCCCCCAAACCCCCAAAGGCTCTCTTTTCGATCTTTTTACCCCGCAGGTGGAAGGCCGCGGTCGCGGTCGCCGTCGATCTGATGGAGCGTGCAGTGGTAGTGAGATTGTTTGACCATTTACTTTAAAGAAGCAAAGAACTTCTTGACACAAAACATGCCAGCGACCAAAAATAGTACGAGCTGACCTTGTCGAGCTGACCTATCATCATGGGTGGGTTTGGTGGTGGATTCCTGTCGCAACTGTGAGGAGATCACACATGTTGGAATTCCTGAAACCCACTCCTCGGTGGGCTCGAAGCCTCCGGTCCGACCTCACGGGAGATCGTGTTACACGGTGCCGCCTGTGCCGTTTTGGCTTGGTGAGCTGAACGTACATATTCCCTGCTGGAAACACCTCGGCATCTTGGCAAGCAATAACAAGCTGGAAGGTCCAGATGGTCGCTTTGCACAGTTCAAGTCACAGGTCCAGATGGTCGTTTTTGCTTTTGCAACGCTGCACCTCGCGAGGCGGGTACGTCTTTCCCTACGCCATCTTCTGGGGCTTCTTGGATGAGTTAGGCAATTTCCGCAGGACTTTGTGCGAAATGGAGTTCCGACTCAGGTTGATCATGGTTGATCAACAGATTGATGCACTTGTAAGTCTGTGCATTGAAGCAGACATGCCCGAAGCCTTGTAGGTTGGCAGTCCCACAATTTCGCCAGTGCAATGGTGCATTTTCGCCGGCCACTGAGCTGTGTTCGATATCAAAACACTCAATTCAAGTTGATCTCTGAAGGATATCTCATGCATTTCCTCTCGATTCTGTGGATTCGATCCCAGACGGGACCTGGGACACATGCGCCCTCACAGCTTCGCTATTTGCGAGGAATACTTCTCGCCCTGTTTGCCCAGTCACTGGGACGAAAGAGCCAGTCGAAGCCTCAGCGATGCAGGGTGGTCTTAAGACTCTGTGGGTTACTATGCTCTATCCATGGTCTATGCCCCTTGTATCCATTGATGGTTTTGAAGATGTTCTTAGATCCATTCGGAGCTCGAACCGTCCACAACAGCTTAGAACATCTTAGATCCATTCCGAGCTCCCATCCACAACAGCAGCTTCAATGTGGTGAGGCTCGGGCTGACTTGCGGCAACACGGGTGCATGTGACGTCGCAGCCTCTGGAGAACGGTGCAGATGACTGAACGGTCGCCGAATCGCCGGTCCACCGGAGTCCACCCGACCGAATCTCAACCAGACCGAAGCAAACTTCGACAACCGGACTGCGCTTCTTAAGAGATGTTGCCGTGCGAGCAACTGGTGGTGGTGTATGGGATTCAGTCGGCAGGTTCAGCCAATTCCCTAGTTTACCACATCATAGAATGTGACATAGAATGTGACTTCATGCATCCAAAAAGAGATCCAAAGAGATACGACCCAAGGCCTAAGCCTTTTCAGTGACCATCGAATTGGTCAGAACGGGGACCGTCGTAGCAAGTCGGACCGACCGATGACCGGGACCTCCACCCGGTCGAACCGGCCGTGGGGACGCGGACGAGCTGCGCTGAGGAGTTCGAAGTGGAACTCGCAGAAGAGGAGTTGGCTGCAGAGATGCAGGCGCTGAGCTGACTGGGTGTGGTTTTTGAAAGAGTGAGGCATGGGGCATGGGACGGCATGGGAGCTTGGTGTTTGATTCTAGACACTTTTGTTCTGCTTGGGTGGAGTTGGTCTGGGTTGGTTGGATCAAAAGGCGCTGGATTGGGTGCGTACTTCGACGTCTTGGAAGGGCTTTTTTGTTTTTGAATTTCGATCAGATCCTTCTGCCTGGACTGCGTCCGGGTCATGGCTCCTGGAGCCCCGAACTCACCCAGCGTAGTTCTGTTCACTGATTTCGTGGAAAAAAAGCAGGGTGTCCCGGTGATATGACCCACATCCATGGAAGAAACATGGAACATGTTTGGCCTTGCCGGCCTTGACAGGTAGAACTTTTGCAGAGGATGCCTATGGACATTCGCCTGGCGGGTGAGACTGCCTAGCACTCAGAAGACGACTTACTTCGTGCAGGTGAGACGGTCTGATGATGTTCAGCGACAGTGAAAGCGGGTAGAGACCACTTCGAGAGCCCCACAACAACCTGGAGGATTCAAGAAGTTGAATTGAAGAACATGCAGATGTCCCAAGAACATCCGAGACACCGACGACCAGAGACAACCAGAAAAAGAACCTTGAGCAGTTCTGGATTCTGGACTGGAATGTCTGAGGCGGCGAATGCGACGAAGTCATGCCTTCTGGATCATTTGGCGTGAAGCTTAAGGGACGGATCGCCGATCCGTTCGGCCCCTCTCGTACGGATCGCCGATGTTTTCGCAGCAAAGGCCAACAAACCAAGCATCAGATGACGCAACAGATGACGCAACTGCTCAGTTAGTTAGTGGCCACAGACGGGGAATCCATAGATTTCTGGGTCCTCTCGACCCAATGACCACCCTGGGCGGTTTCCGCCTCGCCCAGAGCGCCGAACGGCCCGAGCCCGCGAGCCGCAAAGACGCCAGCCGCGACCAGGTCGGGTCCTGGCACGTACAGGCGGGGTTGTTGGGTGCTGTGTCCAAGAGAAACCACAGACCCGGGTGGGGGGGGTTCATCAGACTTTTGGGACATTGCTTGCAGGATGAGGAGGAGTACCTTGGTGCTTTCCTTTTTTTCTTGGTTGGAAAGGACTGCTGTGGATGAGTCCAACAGCAGACTGCATCAATCCATCTAAAGCACCACCCGTTTTTTTCTTTTTCTTCGGATCGGAAGACCTACTCTGAATTGAATGGGGTTTCGGACGGCGAGAGTCGCGGGGTCTCAGTAGGATCATACCTCGCGCGGTGGTGAGGTCCGTGTCCGTGCGGTTTGGCTGTTGTAGTTGCAGGAAACTAAAATCAAGAGAAGGGGGGTCATCACCAAGTTCTAGGATGGAGAGTGCTTCTTTTTCTTCAAGACCTCACTGACCTCACTTTCCACGATATTGGACATCCCTCATGCATGTGGGGGGGTTCCAAGTTGACGTCCTGGCCAATCAAGTTGTTCAGCTTGTGTGGATGTCAACGGGCCGTTGTTGGGATGGTTGTTCAATAGATTTACTGTAATCGATCTTAATGGCTGCCTTCGAACCAAGTAAGTGAGTGATGACTCGGTGATCTACTTGAGTTTCGGTGCTCCAGGAGACGACCCTCTTTGAACCCGAGCCACCCCCCCCCCCCCCCCCCCCCCCCCCAACATATGGGATCCTCCTTGCAAACACCGAGCCCACCGAGCGAACAACCGCCGGTCAAACCCCACGAAAGGTCACCCCCCAAACACCACGGGTCCAGCCGTGACGAACTCGTCCGGGCGGGCTTCCGCCAGAATGCTTTGGGCATCGATGGGGTGACTGTCTTGCTGCAAGTCGAGAGGCGTGGCGAACGGGCGCCGCGTGGCGCGCGCGTGGCGCGTGTGGCGCGTGCAGGGCCCCGTGGCCACCGGGTGTCTATCTCTCACCGAGGAGACTGTCGGCCGTGATCCACCCAAAACCCAGGACCGTCGCTAGATGGATCCATTGGATGCTGGAGAACGAGAAGGGAAGGCTTCGAAGACTTGAAGTAAAGGTACGTACATCTCCCACGGCCTGGACAGATGTTAATAAGCCTGAAATAGATTTTTCTCTTCTTCATCTTAAAGACACCGCCAATGGTTCATGTAGTGCATTTGGTTTCCCCCACCGTTGGTGCCCGTCTCCCACTCTCCCGCTTCGAGGCCAACGGCTGAATGCCACCAGGCCACCGTTTTGATCGGTGAGCGGAGAGTCGGCAGGGTCAGCTGAGTTGACGCGTATTCGAATTCCAAACCAGCTGAAAGGATAGATGAGTCATGATGAGTCATGATGAGTTTGGAGTTGAACAGCTGAGACCCCTCGCGTGGGCCGGACTGGAAGTCAGTTAGTGTCCCCAGTCGCATGAACTGTCCGGACTTCGATGGGCCATGGGCTTTCTCGCCTGAAACGCGAGCCATCGACCAGGCCACCGGGGAGATCCACTACTTAGGGAAGCAAACGCAGTGCTCCCCGCCTTGGGCGGCAGGGTGAGGGGCGCGGCGGGGTGCCTGGGCGTGGCGTGATGTGGGTCCTCTCCTTGTCGCTGGCGGGTCGTCTGTTGGGTTGTCAAGTTGGACCGAGGCACTGGAGGTGCTCAACTGCTGACATACACTGAAAATGGATTCCATGGACTTGGAAGGGCGGTATCCCAAGCACTTCCAATTGAGGATCCCAAGCACTTCCCGTACTGCAAGAAGCTCGTACTGCAAGGACCATACACTCACTTGCTCAAAGCATGGTGCATTGGAGGCTGTAGGTCTTGAAGATGGTGCATTGAAGATGGTCAACCTGGATCAGGTACAAGATCTCAGCGCTGCCTTTGGACACGGGCAAGCTCTATGTGAAGTTCATGAATGACCAGGTGGCAAGTTTGCGAAGAGAAGAACTCCCAAGAGAAGAACTTACTCAGATTCTGTGGGGTCTCAGAAAGAAGACGCTCAAGACACCTGCTTGTGAGGGTGGAGATCGACTGAAGACCGGTCCGTGTACACCTCATTTGGCGGACTCACATGGACACCAGGATGCATGATTCGTTTCAGGATGACGGGAAGCATAGGTTCTGCTTGTCCCTCCAATTGAACAAAAGAAGAGGAGCACCGAAACGAAGCTCTTGCTCCGCAGGGTCATTGGCTCAAAGCGTTGCGCTGAGGATATGAATTGAACAAGCTCACAACATCGCGAATGGACTCCCAAAAATCCCATGTAGATCCACAAACATCCCCCCCCAAAAGTAAACTGAGCAGAAGATGAGATGACATGATGACATGAAAATATACAAAGATCCTTTTCACCTCCTCTCCTTCTCTTTCCTTCTCCTCACCTGTCCGGGAACTCCATCACCGGGCGGGCGGAGGACCGGCGAGCGAGGACGGCGCCATGGTCCAGGTGGCCGCAGCGACGTTTCCGATCCTTGGAGAGATGACTAGGGATGGGCAAGTGGGCACGGGAGCGACGCATGGCCCATTTCCGCGTGGTTTTAAGGTCGCTATTTTTTTTGATATGTTTCTTTGGGTTGGTCTTGAAAAGCTTGATGGACTTGGGTGGGTATTGGATTGGAGTTGATCATCCTTTCCTGATTTTTTTGGATTTTGACAACACAGAGTCATCCATGGAGATTGGCTCACGTCCTTCTTCGATGTTTCGATCGACCAGGACTTTTTGAAGTCGCACTGGGTCCTTCAAGTTTAGACTCACTCATATAATCATATATGGATTGATCAAGCAAGGGGTGGGACATGGTCATACCACAGAGGTCCGACGAAACATATATCAGTTGGCGGGTCTGGTCCTCTAGTGATGTCTGCTCACCTGAGGTCACAGCGAATCTTTGAGGCCACGGTGAATCGCTATGAATAGATCACTTCTAGAGAAGATTTCTTTCGAGCAATGTTGCAAAGAATGCCAGGACATCTAAAGGCAGGACATCCTGATCTGAATTCACATGAAACCAATATCACCAATGTACCCTTGAATGGCCATGCAGATCAACATTTGGCATTCACCTTTGTTTCTTGTGGCTGCTGCCATCTATCCTGAACCCTTGGACGACGTCCTTTCGTTTTCCCCGCAGCCGCGCCGTCGTCGCCGCGACGTGGGTCGTCGCCGCGACGGTGTCGTGTCACCGGTGTCGTCCAACGCACCACGTGACGACGTGAGTCCCGAGGATTCTGGGCATTGGTCTCTTCTTGGGCGGCGGACCGAAGTGCCTTGGCACGAAGTCTGTCAGATGTAAAGAAGTAGGCCGCTAAGTAGGTAGGTGAGAGGTAGGTTAGCTAGGAAGTCGATGACAGTCTGACATTGAGGTCGGTGTTTGTGGTAGATCTTGTGGCCGTGCTCCGGATCGCTTGTTTGTCCGGAACGGTGTCTTCGGTGTCTAGACGTGTCTGCGGTGTCTTGTATGTCTTTTGGTCTGAGGCTTTGGAAAGAAGTGGTTTGCCCCATCATCGTCTCTCTATTGAGGCCTGCAAAATGCAAACTGGAACAGCTCAAGTCATTTGTCTTCCAGCGAATGGTTGGCCAGATGATATGTGCTTTTCTGGCTGGTGATTCTAGAGGCGAAACACTCATCAGGGTCAATAGATGGGCCCGGACCGCTTCACCCCCTTTGGTATTGGTTTCAAAATCCGCATGTTGGCAAGTTGACAATTGAAAACATATGGTTTGGAAGGTGAAGAAGTTGCACCTGTGGAAGAACTGTTGTGAATGAACATGAAAAGGTCCGGTTCCTGTTCTCTTTCTGATGTCTTCCTTCCATTGTTTTCAACTAGTGGGTTTAGTGGGCTGGGGTGGGGTAAGGCTGTCGTTTACTGTGTATGCTATATTTTTGTCCGAGGATACTTGAAACTCTAGATACTAGTAGCTCTGTGACTGGTAAACAAGTGGACTGTAGATTTTCTTCAAGATACTCGGACCGGATCTATTTCAATTTTTATACTGCTAAACCATCCTTGACATGAGCGGAAGGGTTCTGGAACAGCTCAATCTGTTCCGCCCCTGCTGAACGGCCGTACCATCTCGGGCAGTACCATCATCTCGCTCGTCGTCCTCTTCTCAGCTGCCTTGGAGCCACAAGCATCAGCGCTGATCAATGCAAGGTGGCCAGGCAACCGGGATGTGGGAACAGCAGGGCAAGATGTGTGTGGAACGGCCTTGCTCCTGAAGAGGGTAGGGCTGACCTAGTTTTGTTGCTTTTCTGGATAATCTCATGTGGTTGATTCTTGTGTCAAGGGATTGCTTTTTCGATTCTGTGTTTTGGAGGTGAGCCTTAAACAAGATGATTGCGGGGAGAATGTGAGTGTAAGACCATCTTCAAGCTTGAGTTGTGCCAAGCAACTCACCAGTCCCTGCAAGGCTGAGCCAAGGAGAATAACCCACCCATAAAACCGGGAAAGCTACTTGAAACACGTTGTTTTCCCGTTTCCAGGAAGCAAACAGAAACACCGTATGAAATCCCATCCACCACTTCTTGTTGCAGAGGAACCTTTTTGCTTTTTCTTGCGCAGGATGGATCGCCTGGATTTCAGCCATCCTTCTGGTCCTGGCTGAGACTGCTCTGGTGAACATAATCCTCATGCTGGTGACTTGGCACCAAGAGCACCATTTGGCTTCTTCAGAGTTCCCAAAAGACCGATTTCGGGCGAAGCTTGGCCCTTCGACTAGCCGGTTCTCGTCCGGACTGGCAGCTCTCAAAAAGACCCCAAGCCATCCCCGGATTTCGGAAGCGATGTAGCCCATGCAATGAGTGAACCAGTCTGCTGTGAAAGTCCAAGGTTCTCTTCGGTTGCGTCCAGGAACTCAGTGGACGGCAACGACTCGCCCGCGCGCGCGCGCGCCCGCGCTTTTTTGGGGTTGGTGGGAGGGCACGACATCTGTGGAGAAGATACGATTTGCTGCAGAGGATTTCGGTCCTCAATGGATTCTGTTGGGTCTTTGGCAATGCTTAGTCGACAATGTGTGTCGTGGCGCCCTGTCACCTTCATTGGATCACCTCCAACCATGAACAAACAATTGGATCTATATCGTGGATAGACATACCCTGGGAGTCCAGTCGACCATTTTTAAAACGGTCTGACTAGGTGATCCGAGTTCCGGAACTTCCTTTACTTGGGTGCCGAACATCGTCGACCTGGACTTCGGCGCCCGATGCCCGACACCATCGTCCGATGTTCTTCCCGACCGTTTGGGCGCCGTGAGCTGTCCTGCCGCGGCCGGCCGGCCGTGAAAGGTCCAGTCGAAGCTTCACCGGGCCATTCTGGAAGAGTCGAAGCCTCAAGTGGAGGAGCTGCCGACTGAGTGCGAAGCGACACAGAGGTTTCGGGCATGGTTTTGAGCACCTGTCTACCGGTCTTAGTCTTCTTGCTTGACCTGTAAAGGATCTGGAATCGACATCATGGTCCCTGTCTAGGTATGTTTTTTTCATCGTTTATCACAATTTTGTACGGGAAAATTGTCATCATCATAATCAATATTGAAAAGTGATGTCAGTATGGGAGTCAAATGGCCTTGCCTCACTATTGCTCGGAGGCAGATGAAATGATCCTGAACATGGAAGTTCTGTGGAGGGGATCTGACCAATTCTCTTTGCTCTAAGACTCTAAAAGTGTTGCGGATCACCTGTTTCGATGCTGAGGAAGGGGATCATGGAGCAGTTGAGGACGGAATGTGCTCAGGAGGGGAGAAGCCTTCCTGAGGCAGGACGGAACGATGGAGGGGAGACGCAGCGCCTGAGCGTTGTTTGGGATTGTGCACCCTCCCAAAGAAAGAAGACCTACATACTATCACCGGGTCATTGGTAGCAATAGAGGGCCAACCAACAACTGGACCTTCATAGCTCGTAGGATGCCCCCAGGCGCGGCTGGCCACAACCAGCAACGCTCCTGAAAGACCCCAAGGTACTTTGTTTCACCTAGGTGATGTTCGTTTCAATAGATACCTGTCTAAATCTAACCACCTTCGAGCAGCTTGCTCCTTCCTGTGGCTCGCTCTCTGGCCATTCATGCGTTTGGCAGTTCTTGTAGCCTTGGCCGAAGCCAGAAGGCGCCGTCGAAGCCGATATCGGCGTCGAAGGTGAACTGCGCCAGGGATTTGGGGCACAACATCCTCTTCCTCTTGGGCAGGACTTCCTACTGTGGGTGGTCATGGCCGGGGTTTCTGAGTGTCTGCCACTTCTGAGTAGCACTTCTGCAAAGAGAAATGGCAGAAAGACTCCCCGATGGATTCAACAGATGGATTCGAAAGAACCACTGACTTCGTGCCTCAGTGCCTTTCAGTGCCTTTCAGTGCCTCGGTGTCGCTAGCACTGGCGACTGCTTCCTAGCAAGCCAGTTCCAGTTTTTTCCTGAGAGATCTTAGCTAGCAACTAGCAGTGACAGACATCGAATAACTTCAAAGTCAAAAAGAAGTCTTTTTCCTGAGAGCTCTGTGGGTTTCCAGGGTCCTGTGATTATCCCTTCCCTCGTGACCACACCACTGGCACTGTGAGGATTCCCTTGATGATCATCACACTGCCACTTCACGGCATTCCAGTACTTGGCCAGGCGGTCGGCCGTCAGGGAGGAAAGCTTCGGTCAGGGCTGACTTGTAATCATTTTGTAATGATCGTAACCATTCAAATGGTGTACACCATGATCTTCTTGAGACCTGAAAATGATCCACTGTGTTCCTCTTCAAGTCCAGCTCTTGGCTCTCGGTTCATATCTTGGTGTTTCTCTCCGTTTCAAGACCAGGAGTTGTTCGGTTCCACGTGGCTCGCGTGAATTGAACCAAGTGGCATGGCTTAACGACCCGCACCCGGACACCCACGGCTCAACGCCCCCCTCACGCACCGCGGACGGACCTGCGGACGCGCGCCAGGTGGCCTGGGTCCTTCTGAATGGCTGGATCTACTCATGGGAGCTCGAAGCGGAGTTTATGGTCTTGTTACATGCCTCAGTGACGTGATCGCGCGTATACAACACTCTTACGGTGCAAACAGCGTGACGGACGTGTGTCCAGTGGGGTTGAAACAAGCCGGGTTGATTTGGGCAGCCAGATTTGTCTTGAACAGATTGAAACGCCTATGGCCCACGGCTACTGCGTTTGAAACATATTGAAGCCGTATAGATACAATTGAAGCATATTCCATGCAGTCATACCATGTTTCCCAATGTGAAGCATTTTGACATCTGAAATGGTATGTGTTTTAGTGGTGTGTTTGCTTTAAACACGCATCATCCCCAACTGCATGCTCCTGTTTTCCGTTCCCCAACTGCATGCTCAGTGCTCGCAATCTGCATGGATGCAAGCAGCAGTGGCGCTTCATCAAGCCGCGCTGTGGAGCTTTTGTAGGTGCGGGTGTTGGTCGAATGGTGCGGGTGCGGGGAGGAGTGTTTTTTTCGGATCGCTCGGATCGCCGGGCCTTACCTTCTCACCGGATGGTCCGATCGACGAGCCGATCCACGAGACGAACCGGATGGTCCGACCGGCACACTCGCTGCTACCGGAGTGGACTGGGCCCTGTGGAGGTTGGGAGGTCGGGAGCTGATCAAAAAGGGAGCATGGCATCGACCGCTTTTTGCCGGGCTCGATGGGCGGAGCATGGCACCGACCATGGTTTTTCTTTTTGGGCATTGATTTTGGAGCCGGATGGCAGTCAGCACCTGTGAGTGGGTGATGGAATCTGTGGGGTCAGCATCGCGAAAAGCATACCAAAAGCATCGGCAACACGCACACGTTGCATGTGCTGGCAGTCTAGGTTGTGAACAGCATGAGACCTGCCATCACATCAGTGAATTGAAGTGGAGGCTTCTCCAAAGTGTGCGTAAGATTCATTCTTCAGGCCCGAAAATTCAGGATTTGAAAAAGACCCCTCCCAGATTTTGGGTCGTCCTATATAAGGTTGTTCGGATCGTTTTTCACCGGTCTTGGGTGAGATTTGTTACCACCCACCAATCCACCCTTCCTGGGGTGATGAGGTCTGCAGGATGGTCATCCCCTTTCCTCACCGCCCGGAGGGAGCTTCCTCCGCCAGGCTTTGGCGCGGTGGCGATGGCTCTTGAATTGTCACCTGAACAGCAGAGAGGGGCCCTGGGTGAACGCACCGGAAAGGATGACTGACTGACTACCGGTACTCCGAGTGCTGAATACACGTTTGTTGGATGCTGAGAGAGTTGGATGCTGGTATTCTGCCAGTCGTTGCGCAAGAAAAGGATATGGGTGCGTATTAAAATAGAGAGACCTTCCAATGATCCCTTGGAAGACGGACAATAGACCAGTCTACCCATTTGTTGGAGATCTCCCTACTAAAATACACGCCTATATGTAGACGGTATCTTCTGTATAGTTGTGACTTTAGATTCCGTGATTCCGTGCAACCAACCGGTTTCTTCGACGAAAGATGGTGCAGGTTGGCAGGAGCAGGTTGACAGGTTGGCAGGTTCAGGTTGGCGAAGAACTCTTGTGGCTCAAAGACATACGATGAACTCGCCTCAGCAAAATTCTTTGGGACCTTCAAACTCTTGGAAATCTGTTTGAAATGTCTCGTTTGGTCATGTTCTCGGAGCTACTCCGTTTTACTTGTTCCATTGGGATTTTGATGGACCTCCGCCAGAGGATCCCGTTCGTGGGCCCCTGGATCTTCTTCGCGTCGAACGCCTGCGGTGCCGCCGTGATGTCCGAGCAGTGGTTCAAGGAGCGACGGCGACGGACCTGCGGGACCACGGTGGGTGGGACGTGAAGCCGTTTTCAGAACCGCGGCGTGCGTTTCGTTGGTTTGTGGTGTGTTCGATGTGCCGTTTTTCTTTTTTTTTTGACTTGCCTGGGGGATATTTGTTCATCTCACTGCTTGGCACAGTTGAGAAAGGTAGGAATGCAGCTTGGGAGAAAGATACAGCTTAGTGACTCCATCATGGTGCTTGGGTTTGCTGTCAGCCGTTCGAAACAAAAGTCTTCTTGTGATGACGTTATCAATTGTTTCCTGAGGAACTTGACCTTTCCAACTACCAGTTCACAAAAGGACGATACGAATGAATTGAACCACTCTTCTTCAGCAGTTCGTCCCTGGTTCGCAGCAGGAAACGCACACCCGCAATGGCACGGTCTGGACGAAGAAGCCAAATCTTCATGCTTCTGCAGTGCTAGGCCTTTCTGAGAAACTATGCAGAAGAGACCGGAATATGCGAAACACCAGATATTCAACAAGCAAGTCATTTTTATTAAATTTGTGTTGCTCTCTTTGCTTTCTGTGTCTGAAGTGTCAATTCTTTACGTTTGTTTTATCTTGCCAGATGTCAGGCTGTTCAAGCTCTGAAGAGACGACTCAAACTGATGCGAGCAACCCGATTTAGTGGCCAATCATGTGAGGAACCAATCGACCTGGCCAAAAGCCCAAAAAGGACTATTAAAGGTGAGATGACAAAGATTGTTTGGAGTGCTCCTCCCTGGGTTTTGGACCTACAAGGATGTGCATTTTTGACATGGCACATAAGTCTGCCATGAAAATTCGAGCGCGTTGCTGGTCGATGTGACTTGGAGTCAACAGACGGGATGTGCACTCAGTGGTTTCGTGCGTTCTTGGCGTTTCTACATAGTCCACAGCGTCTTTCCAATCTCATGCAGTCATCTCTACAATCTCTTTCTCAAGTCTCCACTACTCTTCAAGATGACGACCTTCATGCCTATCTTCAAGGATCTTCCTACTGTAGCTTCACAAAAGAAAGACATCGCCCACATCGCGAGGATGTCTGCTCGTCTAACGCTAATGCTCGCTGACGGCAGGCAGATCCTGTCTACTTTCATGAGGGCGAATACGATCTCGCCAAGGATGTCCTCTTCGAGGCGCAGACCCGACCGGCGCGGACCGAGGCCGGCGCCCGCGACCGATCGATCCGTGACTCGTCTCGGACGGGAAAGACCGAAACGAAGGACCTGGGGGCCGTGAACGGCGTGAAGCAGAACGAGGACATGTACGGAGCCTGAACATCCACTTTCAGGGAACAAACATAATTTTGCACAAACAGAGAAGGGAGATCTTGTCCTTGTCATTCTCCTAAATGATGATTTATCATCATTTCAATTCCTTAGGCAACTCTTCTTCAACCGGATGAAGGAATGAATGAATGCATAGAAAATTGAAATTAATATAGGATATCTTTCTCCGAAATTAATTTAAGGAAATACATTGAGGGAATACTATTACTTTAGAATATTTTACTTCCGGATATAAAATTAAATCGATTAATTCTTGATATTTCAAATTAATTATTATTTCAATTTTAAGATATATAAATAGATAATATTATATATATATACATTTAATTAATAGAATGGAATATCATTTTATTCTCGTTTTTTTTTTATTTGAAAGATTATTTTACGTAATAACAAAAATTTAGAATAATGATTAAATAATATTTATATATTTTTTTCTTTTTATAATATATGATTATAATATTATTATATAAAATTTTGAAGATTTTTATTATTATATTTTTAATATAATATTATTTTTTTTTGTTTTTCGATTGATATTATATATAAAAACAATTAAATTTAATCGATTTAAACTATATATAATAGAAATATTTTTTATTTTAATTAAGTATTATGATTTTTCGATTACA